AGTTTTCTTATGGCCCTACACTGAAAGTGTTCTGGTTCGGGAAGTGAAAGAGACTCAATTTATAATTTCGAACTTGAAAAGAGTTTTTTTTATATTATTTAAAGATAAACTTGACTTGATGCACGGGAAAATCGATTTCAATTTCTTGGAGCAATGTAATTTTGCTCCAGCTCCTCATGTAGTTTCAATTTTTTGAAAAAACGTGTTGAGCTTTGATTCAAGAGAAATATGTTTCTGTTTGTGGCCATAAAAGTAAAGGATACTGTAATGACATTTCTTCTGATATTGTAATTTATTTTCGTAATATATGATAACTATGAATAGAAAACTTGTTTGCTGGATTGCGAGAACTGTCATGTTTAGTTGATGTAAGATATATGAGATGTTTTGAATTTTTGAATATCATCATATTTTGGCACAAACATATATCATTCAATGTCCCATATTGTGACATACATTGAGTGTATGTCACAATAATGTCTCCGACCCAAGAAACCATGGCACAGATAGGAATGCAAATTCCACGGACACTTGTAGGGAAGATCACAGAGCAGAGGATATTTGGAATTGGCCCATATGCCATGACGAGGCAGCAGAAGTATATGACACAGAAGCTGTTGGCGTTGCTGCATTTATAACTGAGCTCAACTTCACTAGTGAGCCAATAACTAGAATGACTAGTGACACTATTACTGCTGGAATTGTTGCAAGTAGCAGCCGTCTGACAATGAAGAATGTGTGAGTTAAAGAGAGTAAAATATTATGAGCAAATGCATCTTGGGAGATGCAATACATGCTATGTTTATCTGTTGCTTCAAGGGAAACCAAGTCTCTTGCTCCATCTGATGGCCACAACCCTCTGAGATTTTTTTTAGTGATTTGATCATCTTAGAGCTATTTTGCTTTTGCTTGCAGATTTTCAAGTACGGGAATGCAGGAAACTCCAAGAACAAAAATAGAGAAGTGCAAAAGAAAAATAGGGGTTGGAGTTTGCTTTTGCTCATAAATCATGGTACCAATAGAAAAGGCAGCTGTCAATGCTAAAATGTGTAATCTTGCAGCTATTATTCACTACCAATTCTATTTACATGTCTAGAAATTTTTTTTGGTCAGATTGATGCAAATTTTCAATAAACATGTCTTGGATTTTGTTCTGCTTTCCTTTTTCTTAAGCTTTGTTGCAGCTGTCATGGCAATTATTCGGGACCACTAGTAATTCAAGTAGCCTCATTGCAACGGTGTGGCAATCGAGGTGTTTGGTTCATATATTAAATTATGTTTTTTGCTCTTCACACTTGTTTAGATTTTAATTAAAGCTGGTCTAGTAAGGCTAAACACATCTTAAAACTTTATATTTAAAATTTATGAGAATTTAAAAATTATTTAAAAAAATATTATATATTAATTTTTAGTTTTATTTGTTAATTAATAAAAAAATAACAGTAATAAATAGTTTATATTATATATATTTTATGGTTTTTCTTTAACGTTATTTATGGCTTTTTATTTATATTAAAGGGGACTGTTTAAAATAGTGAAGCTTGGAAAATTCAACCGACCCCATTCCTAAACCTTATTATATAACAGAAGTTGCGGACTCATGAACCCTAAAATTTAGATTGAGAAAGTGAGAATTTTCTCAATAGAGACCAACGCTTTCATCGTCTAATCCCAGGTACGTGAATTTTGTCAATCGAAGTGGAAATTTGCTATGTTGTTAACGCTGCTATCTATTCTCTTTTGTATGGTTGCTGTTTTATTTTGATTCCTGTTATATATTTTTTAGATCAAGATCACTTTACGTGAATCTTTTTTTTCTATCTCCTTGTCGGAGTTCTCATCATTTTGTTTTCTTTTATATTATTGAGATGAAATTGTTAGTTTGAATCCTGATAGCTCAAGATTGTGCTTTAGTTTTTCGCGCACCGGTAGTCTTGTCATTTATTCTGTTGAAGTTGGCATAATGGCTGATCTAATGTAGTAGGCTATGTGGTTTTATATAGGTTAATATGCAGCATCTGTAGAAGGTAATCTCTTCACTGGAAATGTTGAGAACTTACTTAATCCATTTGTTGATTTGCATGACTCTATTCAATGAGTTTTGTCAAAGATGAAAATAGAAGGTTCTTAAATGATTTTTTTTATTTAGTTGTTGTGGTACATTAAGTAATGACTATATAGATTTACGTTAGATACATTTCTTTGACTATAGTAAAACAGAGAAAACGAACGAGCATTATTAGTAACTGCTTGAAATTCAGTTGCTGATCTAATTAATGTTAATTATTACTGAGAGGATTTTTTTTGTTTTGGTAATAAAAGAGAAACTTCATTTATTGTGATCCATTTTTTGTTGTCATATTCAATTCAATTCTTTTAGCATTTTTAAAATTATCGAATTTGCGCTAGTTTTATTTATTTATTTATTATAGAGGCGGAGGGAGACAGAAGAGGGTTTTATCTCCTAAATGACAGTTTTGTTTCCAGCAGATTTTATTCTGCCTGTTCCAATAGTTCAAGATGTTGCATTGGTGATCGATATGAAACATCCATAGCCAACAACCCTTGTATGGAATTATATTGCCTCTGGTTGTACATTTGGCATTCAAGTTTTCAGTTCTGGTACTCAATTCATCTTTTTTTTTTTTAACAAAAAAAAGTCATTGAAAAAGAAGTTGATTTTAGTGCAGGAATATTTTGGTAAGTGATATCTAAAGGCTTTCGTAAAATGCTTATGTAAATGTTAAGATATGAGGAAATGTTACGAAGTGAGAATAATTTCAATGTAGAGAGCTTAAAAGATTTGAAGTTTTTATTGATATATTTGACCTTTGCATGCTAGCAGTGGATGCCTGACAGGTCAAAAGATCTGATATCTTAGTCTTTACTTAATGAAACATATTTGAGAATTTTGAAGTTTTTTCATTGTTTTAGGACGTGCACAGAATCAATTTTATTGGATTGTATTGTTATCCTAGTCTGCATTGACAGTGAACTGGTGATAGTTTTTCCGTTTCATCTGATTTGATTTGATGTTGAGGGTAATTTTGCTTAAATTTTAAGTTTCCTAACTTCTCTCCTCCTGCTCTTTCTCTTTTTTTCCTCTAAGATTTATCTTTTCCTCCTCTTTCGATGATCTTTTCTTGTTAGTTATTTAAACAGGCAATTTTCAATGGAAGTCAAGGTTGAAAAGAACAAAATATTTTGACGGTATCTGTTTATGCCTTATTCTTCATCACCAAGTTGTTTTGAATTTTTAATACAACCTTATTAACTAATATTGTAGGTTTATTGCAAATTTAATACTGAAAGCAGTTGTTACAAATATTTTAATAGTTGACATTGAACCAACATTGATAAGAGAATCAAGATACTAACCCTCAGAATCAGTCAAGAAGCTTCTCAATGAGAACTATACCTAGTTTGAGATTATCTTGCTAGTAATATTTTTAAACTGTGCATAACCATCTTAACCAAGTCGATCTTATCTTCTTTTTGTATTGTATGTATAAATTTGAAGTTTTCAATATTACAAAACAGTATTCTTTACAAATTCTATACGTTAAAGATGATTGTGAAAGGGTAAAATTAGTTTATAGGTTAGTGGATGATGAATTTTGTCAAAAGGATTGTTTGAAGGAGTCTCATACTTTTCTCATTTTATTTGTGACGTGTCATTATGTAATTTTTTTATTTTGGTTACAGATAAATATTTTCTCAAAAAATTTATCGTTTTATGATATAGCTTTTGTAAGAGTTTTCTACAAAAGTTCAAAAAGAAATTATAATGAAATGTATTTTTTTTGTGAGTTGTTTTAGCTTAAAGTTGATGTTTAATATCTAGTTAATACTATTAAAAAATTATATTTTTGCATATATACTCTTTTCTTAGTAGATATAGGTGATGAATTTGATATTTCAATGATGATAAAAACCAAGATGATCAAAGGGGTTTGATTAAGATCTTATTGAAGGTATGTGTGTCTTTTATATGAAACTGTTTTTCCTTTTTATCTTTCTCTCAAGTTTTTTTCGGTCCTAATAGATGCTATTAGGCTGCAAATAATTTCTATAAATGTGAACATTATAAATAGATAAATATTATTTTTTAAAATATTTTGATATAATTAGATAATAACTGTTTTTTCTCACGTTATGATAAAAAAATTTATATTTATGTTAAAATTTCTTATACACAGATCTTCGATTAGGCCTCTTGCCTTAACTTGTAATAAGCGAAAGGAATTCCACACAGGGTTACCTACATTGCAAAGATAAACTTTTCAAGATAATTTAAGGAAAATGAAATACCTTATAAATCTAAAAGAAATGGGCTTTAACCCTCCTAATCTCATTTTTGTAGGAAGAGAAATTGATGATCCTCCTTGGGATAAGGAGATAAGGCACTCATATGATAGATCCAGTGAGAGAGATAACTAAACTGGCAAAATAATTATATTATAAATAACTAGTAATATAATCCTATGTAAAAAAAAATAGATAAATTATATTTTCGTAGTTTTTTTAAAATTTTTAAAAAATAATTTTTATATATTTTAATATTAGATAAAATTTTAAATATTTTAAATTAAAAATATTTATATGTATGAATAAGTTTAATTAATTTTTAACAATATAAAAAAATAGAGTTAATAATCCAAAAATTATGGATAGAAAATAATTAAAAATAATATTATAATTAAGGGTTCTTATTTTGTCGTGGGTTTTAATTATAATTTTTGTATATTAAAAATATTTTTGTTAAAGTCAAAATTTATTTTTAATAAATTAAAAATTAAAAATTACAATACAATTATTTTAACATTATAATATTAGAGATCACAAAAACCCACCAAAAAAACAAACGTGTTTCTTTCTTTTTCTTTTTCTGCCTTCAACGACGTCGTTTAAAGGTTTCCTTTTTTACCCCTGCTTACTCGCGTATTTATCATCGACTGCCTTCTCCGCTTTGGCTTATTCTCTGACTCTCTCTGCCCGGGTACTCTCTTACTCTCTTATTCTCTGCTCTCTTACTCTCTCTTGATTGAGACTTGATCATTTATCATGCAATCGAATGCTAATACCCGAGGTCGATTAGAATTTGAAATCGTAAAATGCTGATAAGAATAATGAGGTTAGGTATTGGAGAATTGGAGTTTAGGGTTGAATTCCATCAAGTTTCTGTGTGAATAGATGTTAATGCACTCTCTTCAGGTAATGGATGCTATAATTTCAATTTTTCTGCATGTCAAAAGATTTTATTAGGATGTCTTCTCTAATGATGAAAGTTTTTTGGGAATGTAACGGTGATAGGCTATGTGGTTTTGCTCAAGTTAATATGCAAAATCTGCAGCAGGCAATTTCTTCACGGGAAACGATGTGAATCGAACACGCAGCCTTCTGAATCAAACCTAAGTCTGAATAGCGCTTAATGGATTGACGAAAACATTCAAAACCCTAACCCCTAATTCCCGGCGCTTAATGGATTTTTCCATTTTACAATCCTGAATCAAATTTTCTCTTTCTTCCCTTCAGCATGAAATGGCATCTATCTGGACTCTCCAATTTCATTTCTCCCCTAGTGTCCCGGTAAATACCCTCATATGTTCTCTCCGCTTTTTTTTTGTCCCACTCTTAAAACTCTCTATTTCAGTAACATTTTTTTTTTCCTAAAATCTGAATCTTAAAATTATGGTAGTAGCCGTCATGTATGGACGAAAAGCACAAATCCCTTCAAATTTCATTTCAGCATGAATTGGCATCTATCTGGACTCTCCAATTTCATTTCTCCTCTAGTGTCCTGGTAAATACCCTCATATGTTCTCTCCACTTTCTTTTTGTTCCACTCTTAAAACTCCCTATTTCAGTAACATTTTTTTTTTCCTAAAATCTGAATCTAACATCTGAATCTTAAATTTATGGTAGTAGCCGTCATGTTTGGACGCAAAGCACCAATCCCTTCAAATGCAGCTGTATTTAGGACCGAATTCTGGTGCAGACATGACAATCTATAAACTGGAATCGGGTAGGAATCTATCAAAAGTTGATGTCAAGGCCAATTAGAGCTTCTTTGAACTCGGATAAGAATCGAAGTGCCCAAGATGAGGTCGCTTATGAGATAGTTCCCGCGGTAGATTCCAAAAACCCAATTGGCAAATTTCAGCGGGCAATTAATTTTTTGCCTCATCGGGTATTTATGGTAATATTTTCCTCCCCTTGTTTCCAATTACGGCACCCACTGTTTTGGTTTATGATATCTTTCATATAACTTACTATGGAGAGAAAACCTGTGAATAAACAGAACTTTAGCCGGAAGTTGTTAGAAGATTCCTGTGTTTGATTTATGCGATTTGAGGATGGGGTTTCTCATTTCT